ATCAACTAGAAACAAGAGATAATATTATTTTATGTGTGCACAACATTTATTTTGGCTTAGTTTTGACTTTGTGGTCGACCCCCTATAACGAATAGAATAATGTATTAACAAGCAGCTATTTTCTTCGGAATTAGTGGATTTTTTTTTACTCTGTCCATCGTCCAATATTCTAGAAAATAGAAAAAACAAACGTTCCGGAAACTGGATCTATTTCCGAAAAGTTGTGTCTTCTGTTTTCTAGAATACTGGACGATGGACAGAGCCCAAAACCCCAGTAATTCCAAGTGTTATGCACCATCGTCAGAACCTTTCAGAGCCTAGCTATTTTCTTCCTTGGCTGTGCACTATTACTATGAGAAAAATTTCCCTTGTTTTCTTTCCACTGTGCTACATGGTTATATTAAAAAGTAAAGCTATCCCTGTAACAGGCCATGGAGGTCCATAGGACTGTCAGACGTCAAGGCTCCCACATTTTCTAGACAATCGGCTCACATATGGCGGTGAGGTCGTCAGCATTACGCGCCGCCCGCAATTTACCCACAAGAATAATCCTGGAACTCATTTCTGTTAAGAAGCTGAGTCAACCCCAGGGCCATATTGCGGCTGGAAGGATTAGATCAACTGAAAACTTACAGTGATCTCATTGGGACTTGAAACCGCGACCTTCCGACTTGTGACATAGTGCCTCAACCAGCTACGCTACCGCGTGCCCCACATGGATGTATTAGAAAATTTATATATGAGATAAGTGTATATATTCTTTTATTACTGGTTCAAAATGGTTAGAAATATCCTATCGAGATATTTTACTATAGAAGAGAGGATTTCACATTACCCATACTGTACTTTACGCAGTGCGTTGTCACTCTTAAGTTGAGACTCGCCAATATCCAAAATGCGCTTAATTGGCCATGCTCAGAGAATCTTGTTCTATACCTTTCTGTGTAGAAATATGGTAAGCATGCTGCACGAGATAATAGTAACCCTGTGAGCTGATATGGCCTTGCACTTTCTGGCTGCGAGTAGTACTAACTCCGCAGGTCAACAGTTCTCTCTGTCGTTTTCATGAAAAATGACTTCCAGCAATTTCACGAAGCCTGTACTTCGTATTTTTAACGTTAATTATTTAAAATAAATACACAGTGTCGTATCGCATCTCCGTCAGTAAATACTTTCACACTTTTTGACAGAAAGCTTTAGGCAGATTGGCAGAGGAAACCGAAGTACTCGGAGATAACCTTCCCCAGCGCCACTTTGTCCACCACAAATCCCACTTGACCAGAATCGGAATCGAACCCGGGCCGCCGCGGTGGGAAACCAGCGACTAACCGCTTGAGCTATGGCGCCCCCCCCCCCAAAGTGTACTAACTGCTGGTAATAACTCTTCCCTACCTTATGCCATCCCACCCTGAAGGCGTCTGTTGACGCTCAGAGCACGAGCGCGTCTAGCCCGCAAGCACGCAGACATAATCTCCATTAAAACTGTTATAACGAGGCAACAATTCTGCTAGTCCCTACGCTTGGAACTCAAATAGTTTTAATGGAGAGGAAGCCACGCCATTATCTCTTCTTCATACTCCTGCTATTTACAGCCAAAGTCTGAAAGGAGTGAACAAGAAGTGTATCATAATCAAATTTCCTCCGTGCGAATAAACCCCTTAGAGGTTTATACGTATTGGTGTATGGATTAACCTCTTAGAACTTCCGAAGGCGTTAATAACTGAATGGGAAATCCACGCATCTCACAGCCCAACTACACAGGGCATAACGAAAACGGGAAGACACTCGAAACTGTGATCCCAGTGCCAAGCTCAAGGTGCCTCTGTGATAGGCATAAATACTTTTGATGATTTTAAGTAATGAACTTACTTATAAGAGCCGGGATAGCGCAGTCGGTATAGCAACTGGTTACGGGCTGGACGACCGACGGTTCGGAGTTCGAGTCTCGGTGGGGGCAAGAATTTTCACTTCTCCATGTCGCCCAGACCGGCTCTGAGGCCCACCAAGCCTCCTATCCAATGTGTACTGGGGGTTCTTTCCCGGGGGTAAAGCGGCCGGGGCGTGAAGCTGACCACTCACCCCCAACAAGTGCCGAGGTCAAAAAAATATTCATCTACACATAAACTCCACCATATGTCTTCATGGAGTAGCGCTAAATTAGTTAAGCACAGGGACAACTTTACTTTACTTACTTAATCGGTCTGTATCAGGGGAACTTCTGACGAACAAATTAAAGGACTATTAAATTAACTCCTTGCAGCAAAGGCTTTCTTGAGGAATTTACAGTCTCGTCTGGCCTTCTACGGAAACAAAAGTTTCATTTACTTAAAAAAAAAAAAGGCAAAACTATCCCTGTAACAGGCCGTGGAGGCCCATACGTTTGTGAGACGTCAAGGCTCCTACATGTTCTAGACTATCGACTCACAGATTGCAGTGAGGTTGTCAACCTCAAGCGCCTGCAGCCGTTTACCTCAGGAAAATTCTAAGTACTCGTTTCTGTTAGAGAATGAGTCGACCCCAGGGCCGTTGTGCGGCTGGAAGGGTTAGGTCGATTGAAAAATCCAATGACCTCATCAGAAATCTAACCCGCGACCTTGCGGCTTGTAGCATAGTGCTTCAACCAACTACGCTACAGCGTGTCCCCAAGTTTCATTAACGTATTCAGAAGAATCCATAATTGGATCCTACCCTCAGTCACATGAATTCAGTCTTCTATATCTAAATATCGATTTTTATTACCATCCATGTCCATACCCCGGCCTTTCTCCTGAGATTTTCAGCTAATATTTTGCATGAAATTCTCATATCCTCCGTGTACTACACATGTTCCACCAATTTCATTCTCAGTTTCAGGCTCATATTCTCCTTGTATTGCACATGTTCCACCAATTTCATTCTCATTTTCAGTCTCATATTCTCCTTGTATTGCACATGTTCCACCAATTTCATTCTCATTTTCAGCAAGCATTTTGCATGAAATTATCGTATCCTCTTTGTATTACACAGGTTCCACCAATTTCATTCTCATTTTCAGTCTCATATTCTCCTTGTATTGCACATGTTTCACCAATTTCATTCTCATTTTCAGGCTCATATTCTCCTTGTATTGCACATATTCCACCAATTTCATTCTCATTTTCAGCTAATATTTTGCATCAAATTATCGTATCCTCCTTGTATTACACAGGTTCCACCAATTTCATTCTCATTTTCAGCTAATATTTTTCACGAAATTCTCATATCCACTTTGTATTGCACATGTTCCACCAATTTCATTCTAATATTATTTGGTGAAGTGTAAGACTTATGAAACTCGTCTTCAATTCAGTTTCTCCATGCTACTCGCCCCATCGCCCACTTCTCAAGCATCCACCACACATTATGCTTCCTTACTGTGCGAATGTTTACGTTTCTGTAATATTAATTGAAACACATCGACGTACAGCATTAGGCCCTGACAACCTACGTGTATTATAATGAACGCCATGTCTTGCACTCTCTATACATAAGCTATATTTCTGCACAACCGACCCTGAGAGTCTCGGAGTTCACGAGGACGTGTTCTGTCTCTAGTCGGAGCGAAGCTTAATCCACTTTAAGCTGTAACAGTCTGTGCCTTGCGACTACAACAGAGTTCCTTGGAGACGCGCAATTTGTCTTTTGTTTACCTCCATCTTCAGCCTGCATGATCCATACTGCAGCTCAGAAAAGCTTTCATAAATCGAATCACAACTGTAATTTTGATCTACTGGACAGAACTGAGAGAAAAGTAAGCTTTGTGGAATTACAGCTTTATAAACGGCCTTAATAGAGTGCTAGCCGGGATTTCCTAGAAAGAAACATCACAAAATATTTTTCTGAAAACAAAATAAAAATCAGACGTATGTACATATGAGGAAGAGGAAAATAGAAGGGGTTAGTGAACATCGGTGAGCGAGGTGTGAGAAACTCGTACGTAAGACCGGGTAAAAATCTGAAACGTTACATTGCGTCCCATATTGCATGACCAACAGAGACAATTTTTTGAAAGCGTATGATCGCCTGGGTTATAAAGCCGTGCAGTTCGGAGAGATCCCGACGTTTCGGAGAAACATATTTTCTCTATGGCTCAATAACCATTTGGACCTTGGCCGCTTCTTCGGTTTCTTAATCTATACACAGTCGGTAGGACTCCTTGCACGGGGAATCAGCCCGTCGCAAGGTTATCTACACTCAGAACAATATAAGCACAGAATAAACGCACACGAACATCCATGCCTCGAGTGGGATTCGAACTCACGATCTCAGTGTTCGAGCGGGCGAAGACGGTTAATGCCATTGACCGCGCGGCCTCTGTGGTCGGCGGTTGATAGATTTACTGATATCAAAACTGCGTACTGCAACGTTCTCATATGTCTTCATAACCTATTTATAAAGTTGCAAAATATTAGTTCTCTCAATAGGTAGTTTGAAATTCTAACTGGTTTACTAGCGGTCACGTTAGACGAACATACCCGTACATGCTGTTTCCTGTCCTTGTCAACAAGACTGCTGATTGCCATACCCCGAATCGTAACATTCTCATACGTCGCCTGAAGTAATAAACAAGATTAACATTTTCTGTATTTTTTGATAAGCTGATTGTCACAAATCTAGCCAGTATACTTTTCGCCTCTCATGGAAATGAAGCTTCATTGCGGTGTTCAAATGAGCCCACACCTGGGTCGTATCCCGAACCAAATGCATCTCAAGCCCATCACACCGTACTTACTGAAGATACGCAGTCTTTGACTATCTTAAATGACTGATGAAATATAATCGGTAATTGGTCTCATATATTGCCCTGGAACAGGATAACTTGAACTGCTGTTTCCTGTACGTTATTTTTTACGAAACATGAAGCGCTGTCATAATGTAAAGGATTGCATCCACTACAAGCTGTAACCATGACTGAAGCATGAGTACCAATCAAAACATAGTTATGTACACAGCAACATTTCATATCTAGTTGATTCACCTACCTTATCAGTCCAACATGCAAACTGAAGCCTCTCTCTACTGCTCACACTCTACACAATCACACACTCAAAAACTCAAGAACTCACGTGAACACAAGAAGGATAACCTGTTCGTGTTACACTGCTACAAACATAACCGGCCGAAATTTATGGTCTTCGGCTTTGTACACTAGCGCCAGGTTCCTTCTGCGGCAATTGTTGTAACTATCTCATTTCTAATTAATTGAAGAGAGTAACCTAATTTTTTTGAACAAAAAGTCTGGATTGTTAATGAGAAAACAAGAAATGTTTTATGTGTTTGTAATGCCAATTAATGTTGCTGCATGAGCTGTTGAGATCCACACAGAAAAGTGAAATTTAGTACGTGTTCCGTAATGTTAATTAATGATGCTACAATGACTGACGAGGTTCGCACACAAAACAAGCGCTGTATGTTTGCCGAATTGTATTTAAGGATGCTGCATCGACTGATCATGTTCGAACAGAAAACAGTTACTGCTTATTTGTCTCTTAATGTTGCTTAAGAAAGCTGCATCAACCGATCAGATTCACAAAGGTAAGATTTGCTGTTTATGCATTATGTAGTGTTAATTAACGATCCTGCATCAACTTATCAGGTTCAAACAGATAAGTCACTATTTTCTTTCCGTAATGCTAATTATGGATATTGCATGAACTGATCAGTTTCTCACAAAACACAGTTACTGAGTAAGATTTGCGGTTGTCACGGCGGTGACTATGAAGCATGTCATCTTCTGGGATGTGGCGCCGTGTAGATCTTGTGTGAACTGACGTTTCGGAGGAACGTATCGCCTGCATCTTCAGGGTAGAAAAATCCGCGAGCGAGGAACCAGCAGTCTGCAGCCACATTCTCACGCTGGTNTAGTGGCTCAGTCTGCAGCCACATTCTCACGCTGGTTCCTCGCTCGCGGATTTTTCTACCCTGAAGATGGAGGTGATACGTTCCTCTGAAACGTCAGTTCACACAAGATCTACACGACACCACATCCTAGAAGGCGGCATTCTTCAACACAGTTACTGCTTATGTGTTTACAATTAATTAATGAAACTGCACCAACTGATCAGGTTCGGACAGAAGCAGATTCTGTTTTCTTACTTCCGCCAGCTGAGTCTCAGCTGCTCAGGTAATGTAGGGAAGTGAAGACAAGTCCGGAGGCACGAGAGACCAATGGTTGTACTTACTTACTTACTCATGGAGCTGAGCCCTTCTTGAGGAGCCGCCAATTCTGCAGCTACTCAAGAATTTCCCATCATTTTATGGAGCCCGAAGGTTCATCACCGTGTTCAAAAGAGCCCTCAACTGGTCCCTATCCTGAGCCAATTTATCCAATCCATACCATCCCATCCTATCTCTCTAAGATCCATTCTAATACTGTCCACCCACCTACGCCTTGGTCTTCCCTGTGGTCTCTTTCCTTCTTGCTTTCCCACCAATATCCTATACGCATTCCTCGTCTCCACCATTCGTGCTATATGACCTGCCTACCTCATCCTCCTTGACTTGATCATTCTAATTATACTTGGAGAAGAGTACAAGTTATGAAGCTCCTGACCAGTGGTTGTGGCATTCGTAAATACTCCTGGACATATTTTGAGAAACTTGTGAAAATAAGTGAGAACTACCATCAGTATATTGGCCCTGCAGTAATCTTAGAATGTTCCGAGCAGTTTTCAGAATGGCGATGGACGTAAAGGGTAAATCTGTAAAAGGGACGAAAATACAATATGTGTGTATGTGTGTGCCGGACTGTCACGTGGTCTGAGAGTAAAGCCCGAAGTCAAGCTTCCAACTTACTTACAAAGTGACAAAGTTTATAAAACTGATAAAAAATGCTGGTCTGTGTAGGGGTCTGCCACAACTGAAAATCAAACAATTTAACAGATATTTCTGCAGCTTAAGAAGGAACAAATATAAACAATCAATATTTAATATTACATAAAATATGAGTTGAATATTTTTTCCTTGGCACTACGGCCCCAGTGGGCCCAGGTCTGCCTCCATGAACTTCTCCGTTCACTTCGGTTTCTCTAGATCTTAGACATACGGTAGGACTCCTTGGGCGAGTGATCAGCTCGTCGCTAAGCCTCTACCTGTACACAAACATAGAAAAACGCACACAAACATCCATGCCCTGAGTGGGATTCGAACCCACGATCCCGGCTCCCGAGTGAGAGAAGAGAGTGCTCGCCTTAGACCGCTCGGCTACCGTGACCGGCTGTGAGTTGAATATACAGCATCTAAAATCCTGTAATATTTTAATTGACGTCAAAACATCAGACACATTACGGCAATGGTCTCTTAGGACGTGGCGTAACGTGCCAAAATTGGAAGGTACAATTAGAATTTGATCGGAATTTCTAGAGGAATAAGGTTGTCTTCACAGGGTGCACAAACATGTGCCAGCTGTTCACATAAAAAAATGTTCAAATGTTAGCAGAGTACAACCGATCCGAAGACGTTACGCCAAAAATAAAATAAAACGTAATGGTCCACATGTTAGCATTCCTGGCTTTCATTGGTGAAGTCCGGGGTTCGAATACCTATCACGATTGTGGTATTTCTGTGATTTTTCTCAGTGGTTCCAAGTGAATTTTGATATGGATTTTAAAAAATGATAAAACTACGCCCTTCTACTTAAATAATAAAAACTAAAAGCATAACTTCCTCCGCTGTTTTGACGAGTCACTTCAAGGCATGAATTTGGTTGCGTAACTTGTAGAACAGTCTGTAGCAGAGCGACAGATTGGCCACTTAAAGCTGTAAGCGTACAGTAGAGCGAAGATGAGCTGAATATCTGTAAACACGAAAAGTCTGCAGTGAGCCTTCTCCCTTGTAGAGTTCCTCAGAACGTGTGAAAGTAAAAGTTGGATGACGCAGGGAAGAAAGAAAAAGAAAAAGTAGTGCAATTTTCTCTTTTATTGTTTCATATTTGTTGCCAGTGGGCTGTGAGCACTGAGACCCCAGAATTAGGTTAAGAGGGACGTAGAGGTGAAACTAAGCATTTGCCGTTATGGCAGACATCTTCATTGCCATACACAGAACTGACATGACAATTTTCTTCAGAAATAATAAATACCCTTCGTTAAACAAGGGGCTACATCGTCAAATATAGGCATTTTTGAGTGAATACAGACAGAATTTGGATCTGTAATCGGATTTATTGAACACCCACAGATCCTAAATATTAATAAGGATTGTGCTGTAACTGTTCTACACTCTTCATAAATCACTACAACTACAACACACATAAAGCCTTCTCAGTGCGTTATGTTTTCACTAGTCCTTGCCTGGTGAAGGATCGCAACAATGTCCTCTGTTTCCGTGCAATAATAATTGTTGTTATTATTATTATTGTTACGTCTCTACAGCACTTTTTGTGCTTTGGTCGCTTTTACAGTTTCCTGATCATATACACAGTCTGTAGGACTCCTTGGACTGGGGATCAGCCCGTTGCAAGGCCTCTACCTACACACATAACACAGAATAAACGCACACAGACATCCACGTCTTGAAAGGGATTCGAAATCATGATCCCAGCTTTCGAGCGAGCGAAGACTGTTCATGTCTTATACAGCGCAGCCACTGTGACCGGCATCAGGGACAACTAGGTGAGTTTAATTGCTGAAAACGCATTATGAAAATAGGAGAACGCCAGTAGAGTGCAAATTTCGACCCTCGAAGTTCGTGATAAGTGCGTCTACTCTATCCGTTCTTCGTGTTGGAAGGTGCAAAAACCGACGGGAAGACTGAACGCAAGGGTAAGAATATCAGAGAATGTAGGAACGCCAGGATTTCAAGAGGAGGCGAAAACTCACAAGAACAGTCCGTGAGGTATATAAAATGGCTGTCGTTTTCTGTAATTCATGCAGAAGAGAGAAAGTTCCACAATAACGCCCTCTGTGCAGAGCACTGCTTAATTAGAAGGCGTTTGTCAGCAATTCTAGCTCTTACGTCAGTAGCCCGGTTTGCATCACCTGCCTCGAATTCAGACTGTGGTATAATTATGCTAATGAGCACGGAAATAAATGCTACACTTAAATTCAATTCACATAATCACAATTTACCTCATGTGTGGATTGTACATATTTACTTACTTATGTTGTAAATAGCAACGCTCTAAGCAGCTCAGGCTACATAGCGGCTAATGACACAACGGTTAGTAAATAATGATCTGACATAGATGTAGATGGAAGCGGTCGTGGCCTACTCTCTTCGTATCCTGGAAGCCAGAGACACTAGGATAACGCTTAGTAAGGAGACCTGGTCTCCGGTCCAAAATTTCAGTTCTGAAATGGGACCTAGGGTACAAAGCCCTGTAAATGTACAGATGCGAGCATGTATAGGTAAGCGGGTGTATGATTGACGGATACATATATATGCCTGTAGGGTTTTGTACCCTGGTCTGTCCTATACTTTTATTTGGAGGCAACAAATTCTTTCGAAAAGTCGATAAACATCTGCCAGTCTACATGACGTCACATCTCAAAATGTTTCCGCCCCGATTCGCGGACCACTAGTTGGAAACCATTCTGTTTACTGGCATTTAGATAGGGTAAGACCTGTGAGACCACAGGCACTGCGCTCTACATGCTAGTGACTGTAATGTTGGACTGACGAGTAAACACTGTGAGCGCCTGATTCTAACACCGGACATGAACTGTACTAAGCGCTGAGTCCCGTGCGATTTTGGGAGCGTGTATTGGCCGATTCCCCCCCCGAGTTCCTGCGGGCTGAATTTAATTTTCTTGGTGTTCCAGCTCGAGGGAGAACGCTGCGAGAACAAGAGTGCAGAGCAGAAGAACTGAATATAAAAGTGAGCCAGTAACAAAAGGCTGCAGAAAATGAGGATCGTAGCTGAGAATACATTGAATAAGCAGTCGCGTACAGCTGAGAAGGGGTTGTGCTCCAGCTACGCAGTTGCACTGGGAGCTAGCAACTCCATATAAGAACCTTAGCGTGTTTCAAAATGATATAAAGTCCTTCCTGTATTATTAGTGTCATAAAACTAAAGAAACAGAGATTGGCTTTTTTGACATTGTCTATCCTATACTTTTACTTAAGACAAAGTCTCCAACCTCAGTTAAAACGTCAGTTGAGTCTTAA